GCACATCAGCCTGCATGTAATTTATGATGCGATGTTGCATTAGAAAGTACTACAGTATATGAACCATTCCTAGTTCACAATGGATGCCGGATGCCAATCATACAAGCGTATATGATACGTTTCAAGGACTCATTGGCTCATCGTATGGGAAGCACTGTCATTCCCATCTGCCAGTGGGTCCTTCTGTCCAGCACATTGTGTAAACAAATGAATTTGCACATGGAACTTGCCTGAGTGGGCCTAAATTCCCACGCCTCAATTCCCCTTGACCATTGTCTGCTGCAAATGGGAGAGCTCGGGAGAACATTACGTAGAACGAACATTGCGCATGTAAGATCACACAGACTCGTTAAAGGCGTTCGGTGTACGCTTAGGAACCTTTTCGGTGTACGTTTAGGAACCTTTCGGGACCTTCATGATTTCGTTCCCTGTCGCCACACCAACACGGCCCCCCTGTCGCCACTCTCCCATGGACCTCCCCCAAAACCGGGTCGAGCGTCTCCCCGACTGTCTTCCGCGCCACCACGCCGCCGCCACGCTGCAGGGACTCCTTGAGTGCCTCAATCTCATCGTTCTTCACCACCTGACACCATGGAGTATGCTACAGTAGCTGATGCTAGGTGGCATTGTCAAGAAGAAGCAATCCAGGCTGTTGTGCATTTCGGGATGTTTCTCAGTGGAAGTGACTAATCGAAAACGGCATCCTGGCAGGTCGTTGATTGAACATTAAAATTGCCTCATTTGGTCAGAAACAGAAAGGTCTAGTCTTTTGATGTCTTTTGTTCCCTCATGATCCCTCATGTCAAGCGATGTCAAGCGTGTATTTGTTTAATACACTGAGTGGGTGAGACTGTCACATGCCGACATCCAAACGCAAAGGAGTCGCCACATCGGCCAGCAGGGAAGAGTTGCTGCGGCCCGCGCACGGCCGCCTTCGTGGACGGTTCGCCCAGCGTGGGGAGTCCTGGAGCGGAAGCGGGGGTTCAGCGGGTGGACTGTTCGGCAGTCCAAATGCAAGAAGTGAGAATCCACCAGGTTTCACCAGCATGATGCCAGTGAGAATCCTGGGTGTAACTAAAATGTAACCTGACATGCCACGAATTTCCAGTGGCCTTGCGTGATGCTTCGTCTAGACATTTGCCAAGATCAAAGGCTCTATCTTGTTCCCCCTTCGGTAGAGCCAGTTAGAAAAGGACAGACTGATGCTAATCAACTTCTCCACATGATCATCATCCTAGCCAGAATCCTCTACAAGCCAATGCCACACAGCAACAAAATGGTTGCTTGGGCGGGTTTAGTCGGCGTGTGGTATGCAGTATGCAGCGTCCATGTCAAACGCTTGCTACTATAGGCCTTCTTCCCCTTCACCGTGTCATACCGTGTCTTATGTGCCAACAGGTTGAACCTCCTGCATCTCACGCACTGCTAACGCTGCTGAAATGGTAGCAGCGAGAGAGCTGGAGGAACAAGTCCTGCCAACTTACAACATAGTAACTATTAATTAGGTGAAAACATATTCCACCCACCCACTCATCCGACAAACTTCCATCGACCGCCTCGTGCACGGAGTTCCGCCCTCGAGCCGACTGCCGCCGGCCTGGGGATCTGGGTCTGATGTCTAAAGACTTGAAGGTAATCTTGAAAAAATGACATGATCAAAACAAACTTTAAGTATTCCTTCAAGTTGACGGATGACAAATCTATGGTCATCCATCGATGGATCACACATCCGAGATTTTGACCGTCAAGTATTTGACAAACCTTGTAATATCTTGGGATGTCTCTTTGTCCTGTTTTGTTCTCCATCATGAATCCGGAGAGAGGGGGTTCGCCAAGCATGGAGCAGTAAGTGGGAGTGGCGAGAGCTCTGTTGCTGGGACAACATCCTTCGCAAAAATGGTCAACAGGGCAGTCGCACCAAAGGTTGTTCATGGATTAGATTCTTAGATGACAGTGGTTCAAGCGGGGGTCGTTTCATCACAACTCCCTTCACCAATGCAACTCTCAAAATTCCTTCTTGACCGACAACGGGCTAGTACATGAAAGCCCCTTTTGTAGGAAAGGCCCCCATGCCCCCATGTTCAAAGAAAAGCACACTTTGACATTGGTTTCAGTTGACTCAGTTCCCAGGTGGCAGGAAGGTGGAGAACCGCAAGGTGAAAAGGTCAGCGAGAACAATATGGTTTAACCTTGTTTTCATTTGCACTCGAAAACACCCGAACACTCAGCGCGGCTGCAAGTCTGCGGTGGGAAAAGGTTTAGGGGTCTATCATGCAAGAACCATGGAAACATATGGAAACAAACAAGGAAAGATTGGAATCACAGCGTGATCAAAAGTTGAAGCAGGTACACACTGAGACGTCTCTCAGTGCTTCCCATCTCGCTGCCTAGCTTTGTTAGACCAGGTCAGCAGCAAGATACCAGGGGAGGACCCTTAGAGACAGGGTTTGACACACACATGGCCGTTTTTCGGCGCATATGTGTGTTCAGGTTCCCTCGATGGCTTTGATTTTCCGCAGAAAACGCTAGCACTCTGTGGCGTTGTGTCCCTTTAGGACATAGAGTCTCACTAGTTCGTCGGCCGCTCCTGAAAATTGAACAAGGTGTGAAACTTGGTTGATCTGAGCAAAATTGGAGTGCATGATGCGTACTTGCTTGCATGATGGCAAGCTGCAAAGATGGAACTTGAAGGCAGTAAGTCGATCCCAAACACTTGCAATCAGCTCAAATTGAAGGTTGTACCGTGAAGCCCGGCGGCGTAGAAGCAGTTAATTCAGTAGTGAAACCAAGTCTGTTAAGAAAACCCAAGGAAAGGTGGAAGGGGAGAAATCTGTGACACGATTACCGGCATGAATTCAGCGCCCCAGTGACGGGGATCACACCCAGCACCCAAATGGGACGACTGAGCGGTTCACACTCTGACATTGGTTTTCAGTTAACTCAGTTCCCAGGTGGAAGGAAGGTGGAGAACCGCAAGGTGAAAAGGTCAGCGAGAACAGTATGGTTTAACCTTGTTTTCATTTGCACTCGAAAACACTCGAACACTCAGCGCGGCTGCAAGTCTGCTGCAAGTCTGCGGTGGGAAGGGGTCTATCATGCAAGAACCATGGAAACAAACAAGGAAAGATTGGAGTCACAGCGTGATCATAAGTTGAAGCAGGTACACACTGAGACGTCTCTCAGTGCTTCCCATCTCGCTGCCTAGCTTTGTTAGACCAGGTCAGCAGCAAGATGCCTGGTCCCCCTGTTGGAGAAAAACCAAAACGGAGGGGGAGGACCCTTAGAGACAGGGCTTGACACACACACACACACACACACACACCATGCGATCACAAAAAAAGGGCAAACTGGGCAAACCTCGCCAAATTATTTGGTTTTCGCATAGAACATCTGTCAAGTGCAAGTTCACACCGACCACATCGCATGCCTCGTGGACTGGCACCACGTGGACTGTCGCCGCGTGGGCTGTCGCCACGTGGGCTGTCGCGTGGACTTTGTGCTGGGCTTGATCCGCGCGGACTCCGGGGCGACGCACCCCGGGGAGAGGTCATGCCTGAGGCAAGCAAACAAGATGGCTGATTGATGAATGACACAACAAGGTGTCTATAGTGCAGGGTCATCCCCCCCATTTTTCCCCTAGGGAGCACCAATCAAATGGTTGGCTATATAAATGGTTCTAAATGCTTTGAACACATAGGGGCTCAAACCCAACGTCCCTGAAAATCCCAAAGCTGCACTGAAGTACTGACACCTGAGCGACACGATGAGGGCTTGAGGTCGACTTGAGGACTGAGGACTCACAAAGTTTCAACTGAAACTAGTGCAACCGATTTCGCATACAATTGGTCTTCGAGCCTGCTGCCCTTTGCCGAATGGGTTCGCTCCATCAACGCACCAAAGCCGCGTCATAGACGACAGCCACTTGCCATCAGCGCTTTGGTGAAGCTGGTTGGGGGGCCGTGCTTCATTCCAATGTCGCAAGTGGTGAAGATCTGTCCAATTCCGCCCCTAGACTCGGTTCCGCAGCTCTGACAAACAGCCTGAAATTCTGAAATCAGCAAACAATGTAACAATTAACCAAAAAAGAGTCAATCTGTTTCTCCTAATGACCTCAATATATTGACACTACAGCCTGAAGCCCAGCGATTACGGGAACCCAGCATGCATAGCAGCCCTTAGCATAGCAAATGGATCCAAAAGGATTATGGGTAGTCATCACAGCATTCAACCATGTAACAATGCCTTGAATCTTGTTGAATCTCCTTGCAGAAATTGTGCAACCACATATATATATATAGATATCCTAGCACTGATCCTAGCAACTTGATTTTGATTTGATTAAAGGGGGGTCCATGCCGTGCTCAGGTCTGCCTCCCCATCCTCCTCCCAGGTCTGTGTCTTTTGCAAAACAGCGCCATGCCGCAACTTCGCCGTGTCACCAGCCTGCACACCTAGAAGCCCTTGATGACTCTGATTTTCCAAGCAAACCCCAAACACAGTATGCAGCATGCACATTGTCATATTGTTGCACCTCCTGTTCAGACTGACTTGGACGATCTTGGACGTATAATGACATATAGGAAGTGTAGTGTGTAATTACATTGCCTGTGAAAATGGACCATATTGAAGAAGACTCAGCTTGTTCACGCATCTGCCAGGCAACTCAGAGTGCATGGGCCATAACTTCTTGGCGGGCCTGTGCATGCATATACATGCACAATGACCAGAAAATCGCTGTGCAAGCTGGCTGGGAGGAACCGCGGCATACCTCTAGTTTCAATTCGAGGCCTCCACTGATGGAAAGGCCTGCTATGCCACCACACCACAGCATCATGACCAGGGAGTTACTGCCTCTCACGCAGGCTGGGACTGAAACCCAAATTGCATGATGTGTACCACAACTGTTGGCAATGCTGGAAATACGCTTCTGCTCGAGCATGCGGTCAGGATGAAGACCAGCTTGAGATGGGTATGGCCCCGTCATCATCAGCCAGCGGGGTGGCAAACAATGACAAGCTGTTTTCACCAGAGTATTAGTTACAACTCACTATACCACTGTTGGTGGAAGCACAATCTGACCATTGACAATTTGCGCAATTTACTTCTGGCGCGGCAACCAAAGAGGGCTCACGGCCCTCTCTGCAAACGTCATATGTTGTCAATCAGCCTGAGCGTGATTGATTACAACATTTCCACTGCAAACTGGAGGGAGCCATTCGGTAATTCTCAGCATGTTTCTGCATGCAAATGTAAACTTACACCAATCCGAATCAAAATAGAACATATCCACTTCAAGACTCACAAACTTTGTCTCCGGGACCCCTATTGTTTTTCAAATGAGCCGATTGAAGCCCGTGCGTCGAAGCAGTGCCCTTGACTATAAGATATATATATATATGTATATACACAAATGTGTGTGTGCGTGTGACGTGACGTGTGTGAAATCCCGTTCACATTCAAACGTTCTATCTTGGGGGATCGCATGGATGTCATGGATTCACTGCTTGGTCCACCTCTTTCAAAGTCACTCCATGGAGCACGCTCCCTGGGTCTCCTCGCACACGCACGCTCCCTCCTCGCGGCGGGCGCCGGCCACGCCGCTCAAGTCTCTGAGGCCCAAAAGCACCTGCGGATGGGTAGAGGGTTCCAAAACTGACGGAGGCGGATGCGTGGTAGATATTAGTTACAGTAGATGGATTGAGGACACGGTTCAAACAAATCAGACCAATCTCTATTGGGGGCCCGTTCCCTCATTCCCTACTGAGCAGCGCGGAATGACCTGTATTTCTGTTCTGGTACAGTGCCCCGCAGGCTGCTTGCCCTGGAAGAACTCTGTTATTAAGTGTTTCAGGATGCACCTGGGATCCAGGGAAAAACAAGGATTGGATCTTTCATGCTGTAGCTTTGTGGGCTTCCACTCTACACTCTGGCAAGGCCGCCGTGGTGGAAAAAAACTCAGTCCGGAAACCCTCTAAGCAACCTCACGGACAGTGCCTGGACCCACTCTTGTGCCACCAGTACTCCTTGTTGCTCTTCTGGTCCCGGAATTTGGACCAGTCATCTGGGCAGGGGACCCGGAAGGGAGTCGACAGTGAGGGACATGTACGGGAAAACCCAAAAAATCATCCATGGACGGGAAGAATGCCGGTTGGACGCCGAAACACGGAGTTTCTTTTTGGTGCCTCACCTGACTCACTACCACAAATTTGGCATGCCAGAACCCAAAAACAAACTGTCTTGTAGGACAACGCTGTAACTGTGAGGGAGTGTTATCAAAACGCGAGCTTATGTGCGTTTCGAACATCGAGGTGTTGGAGCATCTCAATCAGGAAGAGAAGATGCACCAACTCAAAGAAGTGCAAATGAAGGCCACTGGAGCAAAAGCACACTGGAAACACCGCGGAAGTTGAGTTGATTAAGAAAAGCCACAAATTCCTCACAACTTGTTGACAGTCCATGAACTAGACGTTTCCAGCCAAGAATTGATGGCTGACGACTATCTAATCCACACATACTAGCAAACTACTGAGCTTAAGCTTTCTGAAGGATGAACATGACTGAACGGCTGGGGATCAGCTGGCTGAGGGATCAGCCCGACTCGCTTTCAAGAAAGTACTCCTCGGTCTGCTCACGCCACCACCTGAAGTGCACAAGTGAACATGTGAGACACAATGGGTATTGCTGAGCTTTATGCTATATTATATATATATATTGTATCCGCAATAATCCATATATCCGCAGAATCCTGGAACCCGCAAAAAATGTATATATATATATATATGTGTGTGTATAATATCTTGGTGCAGTAGGTCTTTGCGGATGGCTGACAGCGGTTAAGCAGCTGTTCCCGCAGCTCTTACAGGATGCATCACTAGTAGCTAGCTTGTCTTCAAGCTCAAAGCGCTGTTTGTGATGCTGGCCAGCAGTGCAAATCTCTGAGTTTGAAGACCAGAACTCCTCGCTGCCCTCCTCGACACGATATCCTTGGAATCAATGACGGTTCAGGTCTCCAAGACTGCTGAAGTCATCGGTGACTGGCAGTGACTGATATCTACAGTACAGGGAAAGGCTTGAATTGGCAAACAGGACCATCTGCTAGGCGTAGATGGTTTTGAGATGTTTTGAGCATCCCACTGCTTGGTCATGCTTGGTCTAGGGGATGTGGATGGATGTGGTAGCATTTCAATGCATTCATGGGGTCAAACGGTCAAATGATGTGTCTCGGGGGGTTGCAAACTCCTCTGACACTAATGATGGCCACCAACAGGGGCTGCTCACTCCCCTCAAGGAAGCCGTCCAAAGGAAGTGAATGCTGATGAGCAGCGTGTCCAGCCATCCTCCCAAAGATCTTGAGTCTCCTCAGCCAGGTTCAGAATCATTTGCTGGGAGGAAGAAGCACAACGGTTTGCCACAACGAATGCCTCCTAACAGAAAATGTTCCTTCCCAAGCACCTTTGGCCTTTGGCCCACTTGGTCACCAATGGGTTGGTACTTGAAGGGGATCCTGGGTTGCCATATTTCATTTCTACTCAAAGGCCTTCACTATAGTTTTTGTACGGGCGTGGGAGGAGTAGGCAACTAAAAGAAGGTGAAGCACGGGTACGAACAGAAGCACCAATTGGACATGCATGTTAATGTAGTTGGTGTGCATGTTGTCAAGTTTGTTTAGTGTCCACATCAGTAAATGTGGCGCCTCAATACATGTATATATTATATATATACCTATACTGTAAACTTAAACCACCCTCTAAAAATTAGCGAATACAGGGGGAGGGTAGGTTTCCTGACAGGGAAATGAAAGGGGATTGGTATTGTGGAGAAACGTTTCCTGAAATGAAGATACAAAAGGATTACTGTAGCATTGGGAAGTGGGGAGCGAGACTTTCTGGGAATCAAGATGAGAGGGGATTAGTATTGGGGAGTTCGATGCTTCTGAGATGGAGATGACAGGGGGTTGATATTGCGGTACCCTTAGGGAAATAAACATGAAACCACCGACTTGTGTTGGCGTTCTTTCACGATGCCTTGCAAAATCCTATGGAAAATGGAAAGCCATCAATAATGACTAGGAAATGATCAAATCCTAATGAGACAGCAATGAAAATTCATCATGTGCACCGGACCCGCTGCATCAGCAAACGCACAATGAAGATTTGGTAAACAAACAAGTTTCAGTATATAGGCAGGTAATTAAAGATAATTACTCCCCGGAAAACTAACATAGCACTCAAAATCCAAAAAGTGCTATTTAAACGTGGGTATGCTCACCGTTCATGTTTGTTAACATGGAACCTGAGAAGAGATTCATGTTTGGCCTCCACAGGTGCCACGTTAGCGTTTTTGCAAAATCTGAAAAGTGCTTTGTTTGTTTGTTCTTGCACAAAAATGAGACGGTGGTCCTGTTATTTCTGGGGAAGTCCCTGGTTCAACAGGGTCTAGCGCAAGTTGGATCCTGGGTGCCTGCTTTTCAGTTTTTTCCTCCAGATCTCATTAACATGGCAGCTGGTATAGACCCTCCAAATCGTTTCTGCAGCTATTTAAACGTGTTCAAACAAATAAATATTTAAATATTTTTTTTTGAACACGTTAGTTTTCCACGGTGTATATACTGCGACCAAAACAAAAATACGTTTCCAAAAACAACTGCATGGGGAAAATGATGGAACATCTTTACAGCTTTATATAGCTTTACTTGGTGTCAGGTTGCTACTCCCAAAATGGACTTGTTTAGGTTTGTTTAAGTTTCTTTTTGAGGAATTGCTTATGGTGCCTGATGACATAAGGCGCCATAACATTCTGTGCGATCACACTGCAGGCCCCTTCTCACAGGGATCCTCAACCTCCGCTTCCAGCTTGGCTGACTCATCCTCGGGCGGAGTAGCAGTCTCCTGAGTGGCGGTGCAACCCGAACGAATGAGCCCTAGTGATGGACAAAATGTATGACCTGCACTGACATGGCAGTGGATGGCTTGGCCCGTGGCAAGACCTGGTCCTCTACAAAAAGGGCTGTCTCCACGTCCATGTTATAAAACATCAATCAAAGTCATCAAAGCAATATTGTTGTTTATATTTATAGCTATTTATATTTATATATAATATATATAGTTATTTATAGATTTTGAAAAGCATCCCTGCAGATCTCAAGCCCAAACGAACGTGTGGTGCATGTCGTCTGCGTATGTTCAAAGACCAATCGCCGAATGTGTGTAGAAGGTGAAGCGATGGAGGAACGGCAGCAAACAAGTTCTGCAAAGCCTCTAGCTGCTCAACATTGCGAAAACACCGATTTTCCGCCCCTCTCCCTCCTCTCTCTCTGATGCCCCTCACATGGACATCAATACCCCCTTGGCTGAGCGGTTCCCTTGATGGTCGACCGTCGCAGCTCTTCCAGGCCTGTGTGGTCGAGGCAGCTTGCTCACTGGTTGCCTGTGGGCTTTGCACCTCGTCCTCAGCGAACGGCGAAAAAGAAAGGCGCCGCTGCAACAACGCGTGAGGCCCTTGGAGCTTTCCCCCTACTCATAAACCTACATGGGGGACCCAAACGAACAAACTATATAATATAGTTAGAGCATGTTAGAGCATTTTAGAGCTTTCCCCTATTCATGACCTGTACTACTTACTTACTGTACCACAACGGCTAGACTACCACAACCGCCAAAAAACTACGAAGATCGCTGGCTGCATGCCAATAGCCCTTTAACATCTCATGAATGAAGTTCCAAACTCATGCATGCACATCAGCGCCCTCTCTTGAGGGGTTGCTCCGCGGCTACCCTTTTCCGTACATAAGCTCCCTGATGAAAAGGCCCACTCAGCGATCCTTCTGCCTCTCTCTCTCTCTCGCTGTGTTGACTTGTCAATAAGTCCTTGAAGTATCACAAACTTTGAGCATCAGGCTTCAGGATCTGCAGCTTCGAGCGAGATTGCCTTCGGTTGGCCCTGACGAGCGGGCTTCTTTGTTGGCCAATATTCCGCGGGCCTTGAAACTCGCAACATCTCACATAATATTGCAAGCCTAATCCAAAATGTCAGCTCATAATTCATTGCTTGGTGAACCTCATTGGTTTCTCTATGTTTTCATTGCTCACCTTCGGGGGTCCTCTTGGCAAACAGTCCGCCTTTCACCAAACCGTCACCTAATTTGCTTTTGGTCCGCTATTTACTCCAACGCATGTTCACTGAGTGACTCAGGAGGGTTCATTTCACGATACAAGCTGCCGGGACGTCACGATACTGCTGGTTGACCCCATCGTCCTCCTATAAGGTCAGAATGGGGCAACGATGACCAGCCTTGGTTTGATCTACGAAGATTTGGAACTTCACAGCATCATTCACCTGGCAGGCTAGGCATGTGGCTTTGCCCCAAAGATCGGGGACAAACTTGGCAGCTTCGACTGTTAAGCTTTGAAACGGCCGTGGTGCTGTCATTGTGTGAATGTTGTGAAATATGCTACAAATATAACATAATATAACCATACTGCAACATCTATGAAGCCTGTTGCTGGTGGGTGTGACCATCTTCTCCTTTGACATCTCATAACTACCATACCTTGAAGCCATTCAGCTGCTTGTGGTGCAGGAAAACATCCCGGTTGAAGCGTGCAAACCTAGACAGCGACCCAGCAAAGCAGTTCGTGAACGTGATGACGGGGTAGCTAGATCTACCGGGTTTCTCCCACTTGTCCACAAGGCTCAATGGGAGGAACACATAGTTATTTTTTGCTGCTTTGTGAGGGCTTATGCCGCTTTGCATAATATGCATCGATGAATGATCTTGATCTGTGGAATGTTGTCAAAGACCTTCAGCCTCGGTCTGTCAAAGGGATGCAAACTAGGGTTTCCACGTTTCTTTGCAGCTGATGAAGCCGTAGCCGGTGTCTTCGTGGAAGGACTTGATGACCCCCCGGTACCTGAAGGCGTTGGCTTCAGGCGCTTCGGCCGACCAGTTCTTGGATCAATGAAGGGAGCAACTCATCACGGATCTCCAAGCAGGGCATGACATCTGATTCAATGATATTCAAGGGAGGGCCCATTGTTGTGGACAATTTGTGCACACAACATCGTGCATTGAATGCATTGAACCATTGAACTACACTCGAGGTCTTTGTCTCATGCTCGAAATAATGTGCGCATGGGTCCGAAGAAGTATATTTGTTCGAACCAAGACACCTTCCAGCTACAGTGGACAGTGGGGGTGATGTCTGGGAAATGGACGTTGTATGATGTTGTGGTTTTGGAAAAAAACCTGGCAAAACGGGTATCAAGCAGCAATGTTCACATAGCAACAAAAACCCACAGCCAAGGGAGCACACTAGTATTCACTCCCAATTATATATAGTTTTTTGGTGGGTTCTTAGGTCGGGAGTAGCCGTTTGTCCACTTTCCGCCGTAAACGCATGGTTTGGACACGCATGGGCCGCCATACAACTATTGTTTGACTTCCCATCTTTTGGCACGTGGTTGTTTTTCAACATGTTCATTGTCCATAAAGTGGGGTGTCAGTGTCATATGTACATATACATAAATTCATACACGCACAAACACCTACAAGTACAAACACTTACACGTACAAATGCACATGCATACATGCGAATAATGCATAACGTGAAATATCTACGGTAGACACGTGACACGTCTAGCTATTTTCTGGATCCTACATTCCACACCAACATTTCCAGTAATCTTGGATGTTGGGTCCAAACATTATAAAATCTCGAGGTATTCCTCTTCATCCATTTGCACCAGCCACCATCACAATGTTTGCTTGCAAGAGGTATGACACCAACGCAACATATCAAATTTCACTAGTCCAACTCTAAACCTGTCAGTGTTCTCAAAATCGATTTTTTGCAGCTCGTCTCTTCTACGTTATGGTTATAGTCATTATCTTGAAAGAATCTTTTGACATCATCCATGGGAATGGTGTTGTCTCTCTTTTTGCATCTGCAAACGAAACTCCTCTCCTAAAACCACTTCTATCAATCAAGTGCATCAGTTTGTGTTACTGTGTGTTTTGACCTCATTGAGATTTGCCGAGTAGTCGCAACCTACACCCTATTTTAAAAAAAGACAAGACAAATATCTAACAGTTGGGTGTTAAAATCCGCCTACCAGGCACTGGCACCATCGCGAGTTGCCATGCCTTTGCCACACAAAGCAGTCTTCAAGAGCGCGTACCAACACAGCAATACGTCGGCACAGCACATATCATGCGCCCAAATATTTGCCACTACAAGCAAGAACCAGCAAACAACGCTCATGATGGGCTGATCGTTCTGATGAATGCCTGAAAGGCATGGCAGCGCAATGGCTTAACTAAGCTAGCACGCGGAAAGAGCGAAACACGTGCATTACATTGCATACATTACATGCATGCATACATTACAGCACATTGCGATCATTGCGTGACACGCATGACATTGCATGACATGACACAACATAAGATTGCATTACATTACATCAGTACACTCATCATTACATATGTTTATGTATGCAACTATTTGAGTCAATAGCCGGCTAGCGCGATGGGTTGGGCACTTGAACTCCTCGCCCTTGGGCAACGGCTTTGGAACGGGCTCTGGCGGCCTTGCGATGAGAGATCAGATTCGAGTTAGGGACTTCTATGCACATGCTAAATTTGCATAGGAGTCCCTAACCCACATGGCAGAGGCCAGTAGGGATTCCTAATGATGCCACAATTCTTCCACAAAACTTTCAAACGCTTGCACGTGCCACATGGAAAGACTGGGAACTTAGCCGAAAGTAGCTAAAGGTGGTGAATCTATTATTGAACGTCTCGCGACGGTAAAAGCGATTAAAAACGCCGTCCCACCACACGCAAAACCACGCGAAACCAGCGCCACTCCCAGCGGCCTCTCCGGAGCCCAGGTGATTCGCACCACCTTTGCCTCGTGCCAGTCATCATGCTGCGTGATGCGTGGTCTGAACATCTCAAGCAATCTGTCTGTGGTCTGCGTGCCATATGTAGCTATCAGGTGGTATTGTAAAGATCACCGCACGGCTTGTATGTGAATCCAAGTGCAATCTGTCGCCATAGGCCCCTTCAAGGCCAGTACATGGTGGATCCTTGGAAGCTGATACATATCCGAAACGCCATTGATCCCATTCCCATCATTGTCAGAGAAGAATGACATCAAGCGGGGTCCAATATTGCAATTTTTGACTTACACCCCTTTTCTATCCTTTTCTCAACTTCAAGTTTTCGGGATTGAGACTCTTCTTGGAAAGCCACCCAGAATCAAATCAAAAGGAAAACGTCCCTGTTCACAGCTGCCCCCATCCCCACCAAACAAAACAATGAGGGCGCACCTCATAAAGGGAAACTCATCGTCCAAACCTCTCCTATATTGCTTCTTCGCTCCCACGTCAGTTTGGACAGTTCAGTCTGTTCTCACTTCCCACAGTCTGTTCAGGTCGGCACCTGGGGTCGACCGCTGCGGTCCAAATTGCACCAAAAGGTGCACTTCGACCCCACGCGCACCTTCTCCGACACCTCCGCTGCAGCGGTCGGCCGCCCGCGAAGGCGTCGACGACTCCGTGCCGTCTACGAGGCGTCCGGTCGCCTTCTCGGCGTCCACGTCGTAGACTTCAGTGAGCTGAAAGTGGACGTCACACCTGCGGTCTGGGGCTTTTGAGGGTCGATGGCTGGGAGGGAGAAATGTGCCAATCAATGTGGGATGTGACAACCTGGTGGCAACCCCGACCTCATGAATCTTGGAGACCTCAAGATCCTCAAGTAGATGTCTCCACACTTCACGTCAGATTGGCAATGGTGCGAGTCAACCCGACCTCCTGGTTTCTACAGATTTGATGGATGTCCCATTGATGATGTTCCTGACCAACTGACTTCAGAAGCTTCAGATTTGGCCACCACGCTTCAAATCAAATTTTTATCCGGCCTCATGAGTTCCCAAACCTTTGGCACCGTGATGAAGCCATAGCCTTCGCAGCTGGATGGCAGCATTTGTGGCAGCGCTCGCTCTGTTCCAAATAATGTCTCGGACTTTCCAATGAATTTTACCACATACCCTGTCAATGGCTCGATGTTTCCATAGTTTTTTCCTTTGAAACGGATTCTCCTCACACGTCTTCTCTTCCTGTCTCCCACAATGCTGGCCGTGGAAAGATGGAACTCCGAGCCGTCAGCGATTCTACGCCAAGTGGGATGTGGTAAACCGACCGGCCTACGGGCCTACAGCAAAACACATGTTGACTGCATCCCAAAAATCACACACCCTACCCCCAAAAAGTTCTATCAATGTGAACTGCTGATCTGCTATTCCTAAAACATGATTGTTCAAGACAAACTGCTCAGGTCCAGGCCTTTGGCGGGGTTGAAGCTCTTGATATCTCCAGTGAACTTCTTACGAACTGCACGCTGCGAGAACATCGCAGGATGGCACAAACTTTTGGAAGGTCGGCATCAGGGTGGATGGGTGAGAGGCACCTCTTGCTTTTAATTACCAATGTTTGGTCAGTGAGAGCTGTGGTTTGATCCCGGTACTAAAATCAAAGCATATGCATGTTCTCCATTTAATCGGAGGAACATCTGCCCTCCTGACTTAGCACCAATCCAGTATGTGGGTGGGTGTGGCTCAAAAAGTAAGACCTAACACACGCAGGTGTTGGTTGATGTTCTCTTTGCAAGAAGGTCTAGGGTGGCAATGTATTCGTGAGCCACAGCCATATGTGCGACGGCATTTATTTGGTACTTAGCTCAAATACACTATCTCTTGTGTGGGTGCCCTATCTCGTTTAGACTACTTAAGTAAGAGGTCATGTCACAGTATCTCGTTCAGACTACGTTAGTAGCAAATCAGACTATCTCGTTCAGACTACTTTGGTGACATCAAGCAAAAGTATCTCGTTTATGTGGGGGCCCTATCTCGTTCACAAGCGAATACTGATAGACAAGCAAATAGAGCATGCCGTAGACTACTTTAGTAAAGCCTAAATAAAAGTGGTTGCTCATATAGTAATTTTATATATGCAGTTATATATACACATAATGTGGGACAGGCCAGGTTTGTATACAGTCATTTCATGACCTTTCCATCCTGGATCCATGTGGCAGGTGTGGCGGGTTCAAGTATATCAAAGTACAGTAGATATGCACGCATCCTTTGCAGTGCAGGGAGGAACTCGTATGCAATTCACCACTAGGCGAACACGCACACATGTACAGTACGAGTAACATGTATCCCGAAAAGACGGGACGGAACCCGGGGGCGCTTGCGCATTTCAGTCTACAACCTCAACCTCTTTTCCGCAAACCTGTCAGCAAGGAAAACAACAGCAAAATTCATGGCCTCCTTGGTCAAAGAGAGAATGAAGCACCACCGCAGGCGGAGGTCTGGACGGGGCCTGGCAAGTTCCAACGTGACGGTTCACCCTGCAACTATTGTAGCATTCCAGTGGCACACAGAAGGGAGGGATGATGGGAATGGAAACGTGGAACACGCCTGTTTGTAAGCTGTATGTAAGGGAACAAGTTTTCCAACAAGCCAAGCCATTATTGAAAACACATTTGTTGGATCCGATAAATTGCCAAATTATTTTGGCCACGTGGTTGCTCCTTGGCCCCCGTCTCTGCATCAACGAGGCCGATCCCGTGTCACAAGAGATACCATGTTCACGTGCTGCTGGGCGCTCCTCATACACTCCCATCCGGTTCTTGAAGAGGGGCACAAGCTCCCAGCTAGCACCCAAAATAGGCTTCGGTCGGCTCACACGGGACTTATTATACTTATTTAGGCTCAAATTATATAGTTGACACAAACTCTTTACAACTATAGCAGAGTATCAAAACGTGTGATTAGGCAAGTTCAATGTGTTCTGCAACTACCTCAGCTACTCTCAAATCACTGCATTTGTACGAACACAAAGGGCGTCCGGTGTCAGCTTCCATACTGACATACTGCTTCACACTACGAAGCTGGTCCTGCCTGTCACTGGTCCCCAGATCCAACAAAGTACGCACTCCCCTGAATAACCCATGGAAGTGGCACCAGCCCAGAACGTGCCGGTCGGCCAGATTCTTCACTGACCTGGAGGTGATTTGAGGATGGTGTGGAGGGACCTGTCTGAGTTTGGGAGTAGATGTCGGTGTCTCTCCATTGAATAGGAGCTTGGCTTGAGGATGCAACTGCAATTTTCACCAGCTTTTGGAAAGATCGATAGTTGCCCCACTGGATAAGTGTGCTTCTCAAATGCTGCCAGGGGCCAATGGGAGACATGATGGAGAATAACAATGGTCAACTCACTACGCACAGTGCGGAGCCAAGGGGGAGCCAAGGCCAAATGAAGAACACAGAAAGCCTAGTCTCTCAAACCTGTGGATGTGGGGTTGCTCCTCGCAGCATATCGATTTGCGCTGAGTTGGGGAGGTGGAAATGCATGACATTATAATGCTTGCCTTGATCTGCACGATTCATCAGCATTGACCACTAGGCTTCCAGCTCCAGGCGTCACATACTCTTCGCTTTTTTGCACAGATTTTTCGAGTTGCAAGAGCACCTTGCTGCCAATCAAGCTCTGAAAAAAACCATCGCGCAGGGCAGCTCTTCCATAAAAATTGAGCAGCACAAGCTTCAGCTTTTTGGGTGCCTGCGATTCATTGAGCTTTTCGAGCTTGCGTCTAGTGCAGAGAGGCTTTTTGGGGGCGTGTCACCGGCCTATCACGATCACAGTGCTGGATCGAGGCACTCGCCACATCCCGGTCCCCAACAAAAAAAACATTCAACTCTGCAAACACAATATTCATCCGGTGCAACAGTTTCCCTCCTCCGCAGGCACCCTCTATCTGGCACTTGCTGTTGTTCTTTGGGCCGATGATTCTTTCACCGGCCAGCAAGATACCTCACCATGACAAAGCAATGGAGCCTGAGGCAGCCCTAGGCAGTAAGCCCTGAAACAAACCCATTGTTGAAGCGTTGAAATCAAAACCACAGTTTCTGCAAATCACCACTTAAAAGAGCAAGCCGCTTACGCAACGACTCTCTGCTGCAAAGGGTTCGAACCTTTCTGCAATCTACTCAACTTATACTAGACATAGCAAACATACATTCTTCATCATTCTTCTACTCCAGCCTCTCCCCAACCAGGCTCCCAACAGCCGCCCTCCCACGTGGCGACCAAAGGTGGGCTCCGACGCTCCGCTCGGCTCAGATCTCCGCGCCGAAGTCGCCCGCCGCCACGGGGAAGGGCCACTCAGGGCGGTCGCCCATCCAGGATTGGGCGGTGGATTTGGGATATCGGCACCCGGCCTGAGGTCGAGGTCAAACACGCGATGGGTGAAGCAGGATCCTTTGGATTTCCAGGATGGCCGGGTTGATTCGCATCAGATTTGGACTTCTGGTGAATTGTTGATTATGAAATAAGAGCCGTAGATTTGAAGGAGCTGAGACATGGATGATATGTTTTAGTTGCGCCAAGTCACATGCTCGACGATGTGCATGTCCTCAGCGGAAGCATGAGCGAGGAACAGCTAAGGACAGCAGGTTTATGGACCACCGGATAGGGGCAAATAGGAATTGAGCGGTTCCCAATTGTATATCAGATTATCTTATATACTCAACTCCCTGGCCCACAAACCTACACTATAGCAAAATCATGCAAAATCAAAAGCAGCAGTGCTTGAACTGTGACTCGCATGTTGCCCGTTTCTCAGGAAGAGAACCCGAAGAAGCCGTTGCCCAAGTGTTGCAAGGCCTTTGGATGAGAACAAACCAATACTGCCAGACTAATTATGCGGAGATGAAGATGAGTGAGACACCACACAAGGCACAGTCCAAAATGTCACCCCAAACACTCCGAAGCAAAAAACAAGAGCGTTGAGCACCATCTGATCAATCCTCTCAACAAGCTGGTCTGTCTGGTCAGGTGTCCCGACATCACCCTGAATCGCCGAGTTAAGCGTCGTTGGAGCCATAGGGCTCTAAACCCAGGGCGCGGGCGCGCACAAACATCTCCTGCATCATCCATGGCCTGAATCGCCCGGCCAAAGTACTTGGTGGGATGACATGGGGTGAGACCAGGGACACAGTGGATCCCTCCTTGTCCACCACTACTGACAGAAGGAACAAGGAGCTGCTGTAACGCTGTATCTTCTCAATGGGTTTGGTATTGGGAACACCTGATTGCCGGCTGCATGCAGTGTTATATAGATAGTAACTTAATGCAGCATGTGCAAATCATTTCGGACCACCAGAGCTTAGCTCAAATGAAAATACATGAAAATACTGTTTGGCAAGTATCGGAGCTGGTTCTTCCCCAGGCACAAGGCCAAGTGGCTCCACGATAGGCGTTCGAGACAAGAAGTTGATCCCAGTGAAGGTGATCCCATCACGTTCCGAACCTGCCCAAAGTGGGAGCAGGGTGATGGTCCCAAAAAGAAAAGCTGACTCAAAGAGTAGTCTGATGCAGAATCTCGTGCAAGCGGATGTAAGCTGGGTCCAATCAACAGGGCCTGAGGTTGTATTGTACAGGCATGGTTCGGACGAATGCAACCCCTGAGGCCATCCAAGCTGGGCATATTTAGGGTATAGGTATGTTATGATTATTCATGATTGTCATATTGTGATGCTTTCTTTACAGCCAAGCATCTGTCTTCCTGAAACACTTCTCTCAAAAATTCAGGAAGCGAGCCAACTGAGTAGCCGCTACAGTTCTCTGTCCCACTGTGTGGACTTAGAACCCATGCATTCCCTGGTTGAAAAGGCCACGTGCCCCGCGCCCGGGCGGGTGCCTAGGCATTGGAATTGGATGGATCTGGTGTACTCATACCTTAGCAGCAAATGACAAAAGGCATGAGCAGAAGCCTCAGAGTTGGTCCTTTCTTGGTGGAGCTTGTCATGAATTCATCAGCAAATCGTTGCGGGGGGCACCTCATTTGCCCCGGACAAACAATGAATCTCACAACTAAGAGTGCCAAAAGATTTGGAACAAACCTTTCCAGCGTACAGTACCTGGGAGAAAAGGAACTCCACCACCAAGAGGTTGGGAAATGCTCCAAAGGTATGTCGGAAGTGCCAGTGTCAAAAAGGGCCGTCAGTGGAGGCACTAGGCCTCCAAATAATGGTGTAACTACCTGCACTGCAATCTGCATGTGTGTTCAAACCTTCCGTGCTTTTATTCGCCCTTGGTCGTCAGAAGTGCACCAAAGACCACACATTACTACTAATTACTAATTTTCTATTTGGGGCGAAGGACCAGTTCGCTTTCAAATTGTTCTTTGACGAGTCTTTGTATTTCACTCAGGCGCAACAATGATCTTCGGGTAGGCCATAAGCTGCCACTCAGCTACCCTGTCTTTGCCGTAATCTCAGGATCGCTCCAGATTTCCAGCACCATGTTGTCAAACCTAGGGTTTCTGAAGCACAGAAACAGGGCCACACCACCCGAATGAACACAGCCGACGTCAATGTGACTCTGTCTGTGGCATGGGGAGCGCCACATGTCATTACGAGCTGAAACGTCCTTCGAGCTGAAACAAGCATGTGAAGAGTTCGTTGGAGGCCAAAACTCATCAAAGAAACTCTTGGCCGAAGCCCGTCTCCAACATCACACCCGGATTTTGAGGCTTGTAGTACATGGTCATGTTGCAGGTCCACCTTAGCTGTTTGCCAACTTCACAGGTTTATGACTTACCACTGACAGCTCCTAGCGTCTGGCGTGTGGAATGTAAAGTGTCCATTCAATCTAAGCTCTCAGCATGTTCATGCGCCGGTTTCCATTCCTCAGCAAGGCGGCATGTTTTTATCAATTGGGAAAGCCGTTCAACGACCCTGAGGATGAACTATAGGAGCGGGTTCCTGGCCCCGAAATTTCAGGACACATGCAACTGGCTCCAGCGATCCAATGATCACGTGGCGCTGTGTGAATAGATTCCATGAACTCAAGCGAGCTGCACATTGTATCCTGGTAGCCAGGGTCCGTCCACACCCTTCTTCCATGGCCATGGACAGGTGACAGTGAACCTCAGCTGCAAGTTCAAGGATATTTTTGCTCGGGAGTGCATCCGGGCGCTGCAAAGACACAATTGTGGCAAGAAGCATGTCCTCGATCACGTTGCCATGCCGAGTCATGTTGAATTGGGTGCAACCACATCCATTGCATTGAGTAATGTCGTGGAAGGCAAGTTCGTACCAAACACCGACCTGAAAATGGCTCGCAGTGCACGTGCCCACGGCTGAAGTCTCGGACTTTGCTCTCGGCTCCTCTTACAACACCCGTCCTGCTGTGGGGTTGGGGCTAATGCATGCAACGAAATGTTGCCTTGATGTTACACATAGAACATGTCTTGACGCTGAAGGCAAGGCAGGGCACATACTTGTCGACATCGAAGGCAGGCATAGTGGCGCTCTTCACCTCTTCGTACTGAGGGCACTGAAGACTGCCTTTCCTCATGAGCGGCTCGCAAAACCATTCAACACCTATGGCATCTGCCTATTAAGTCTTGTCTTGCGCCACTGCTTATACTGCTTACGCGCCCCTTGCGCGACCACAATGGCAGCTTACGCACGCAATTCTTGCAAGAAGGGGCTTACGAAACACTTATTATGCCAAGGAATTTTGGAGCACCACAGTCACAGCTTGCGCGCGATCTGTTTTCCAGGCAGTGCATGTGCCGCATTTCCAGCAAATATCTGGCAGAAAGGATTGGCACTTGGCAAACACTGGGTCCAACTGATCTGTGCCTTCCGCGTAGCCTGGCAGTGAGCGGCATATGGCGTTCGTTTGGCGTTGCGGTCGTCCAAAGCAAAACCGGAAGACCTAGGGGCTTACGAACGATTAGCATACGCGGCACGTGGCACGCCGATGTCCGGCACCAAAAAGCTGAAATTTACATTCTTCAGTTCCGCACGTCTTCTAAGGATGTTCCAGCAGCCTGTCAGAAACACACCCTGCCTGCATGTTTCAATGTTGCACTGAAGTTGGTCCATGTGCAGATGTGACATGACATTTATATGCTACAACTTGGGCGTGCTTACGCAACTCCTATCTCCCAGAGAAGGCTTACGCAACCTCAGGCACATCAAGGTTTTGC